AGCAGCGCGCGTGCGCGTGCCCGCGCCCTCTCCCTCACGTTCCCGGCGCGCCGCGTCCCCTCCCCGCCGGGAGCGCGCGCCTCCCGCTCTAGCGCCGGGTCCCGCCGGGTCTCTCACAGTGACAAGCTCCCCGGAGCTCCTTCCACGGCCGTCGCCTCGGCCGCGGCTTCCCAGCCCGGCGGCTCAGCCTAGGCCCCTCCGCGCCGCGTCGCAGGCCTCCTCCCCTCGTTCTGCCACTCCCCCCTCCCTTTCCCGCCCTTCTCTCCCACCGGGTCGGCGGGGAGAGCGCCGAGACGAAGCAGGCGGGCTTGAGGAAGGGGCTTGGAAAGATGGAGGTGCCGCGCCTGGATCATGCCCTCAACAGCCCTACCAGCCCCTGTGAGGAGGTGATCAAAAACCTCAGCCTGGAGGCCATTCAGCTGTGCGACCGGGACGGTAAGAGCGGCCGGGACGGTAAGAGCGGTCAGGACGGTGACGAGAACGGTTTCGCGGGCGTCCCAGCCCCGGCGGAGCCACCAGCCCCGGCGGCTGGGTCTTTTGTTGCGTCCCCCCCCCACCCCCCTAGTGCAGACAAACGCGGGTGCCGGCTCCCCGCCGCACGCTCGCCCTCCCCGGACCCCAGAAACAAAAGGACCCCGGGGTGGCGCGCTGGCGCGGAAAGTGCCCTCGCCGCCGGCCCAGCCGGGGGCGCCGCTTCCCTCGCGGCTCCTTCGGTGCCTGGCGTGGCCGAGCTTTGCCGCAGTCCCGGTGCCCGCCTCTCCCACCGGCTGCCAGACGCCCTCCGGACCCCTGCGTCCCCTGGCACCCCTGACAGCCCACTAGTTGGCATCCTCTGCCAAGAAACTTATCAGTCTCTTGTTAAAAATTCTCTCCTCTTCCTACTCCCCCGATTTCGAAGTGTGGATACCTTGCAAGGGGCATTGGGATGACAGTTTCTCGGGGAAGCGGCGGAGAGAGTGCGTTTCAGCACCAAGGACAGATACAGACTCCTCGATTCTGGGCTGCGGTTCACAAACTGTCAAAAAGGCGGCGGGGAATTGGCCCTGACACCTCTCAGCCGGGAGTCCAAATGGGCGCTCACCTTTGTGAAATCGCTGCTTCCATTGTTAAAGTTGGGTGTCTGCGAAGGGAGGAAACTGATGGAGCGTTAGCGAGACAAGCTAGCATTGCGCGCACGATGATGGGTAGTTAAAGTGCTTCTGGGTTAGTTCCAGTAGTAGGAGAGCGGGTGCTAGATCAGAAATGTGAAATGAAACTTCATTTGTGAAAAAAAAAGAAAAAGAAAAAAATCATCTGATTGCTGACTGGTTGACGAAATGACCGTGAAATTGTACATCTGACAAAGGAGCAGCGGTTTTTTGTTGTCAAGAGGAAGAACGTTTAGCTAGAAATGAAAAATGTTTAATTGTACGCGGTGAGACTGGTTTTGGACCATGTTCCGTTTAAATTATTTAGCTCTACTAATATGTTCACAAAAATGTGGCACAATTTATCAGTATTTGATCCAAATAGTCAGTGGAAGTGGAGGTCTTCTTCCCAAAGTCATTTACATGGTTATAACTTGGTTAGATGTTGCACTACATTTAGGCAACTGAGCACTGGAATATGGTTTATTGGTACATGTAGAGAACAAAATAATTACTCTCTGAAGCCAAAGACACTTTAAATAATCTCTGGAACAGTGTGAATAAGCAAGTACTCTTGCAAAGGGTTTATATATTTCCTCTCTATTTGAGTCGTAGTAATAGGCTCCTTTATAGCTTCTAAAAACTCATCATTTTGTGTTGTTCTATTGTGTTAGAGTATATAAAAATTATTTTAAATAAACTATGAAGGAAGGTATTTGGATTTTAGTTTATGCTTTTATGGAATTTCATTTCCTAGTTATAAGTTGTAAAGAGATTTTTATGTTAGATTTGTTTGAAAGAAAACTGAGAATCTAGAAGAGATGTATTTCGTTTTCATTTACTTCAGTGGTTCATCAAAAGCTCATTCTAAGAGTAATTGGAAATGGGCAATTCATTGTTTCCTCTCATAGCCCAGTAATCTCAGTGCTTAAAATTGCATTTGTCACACGTTTCAAAATATTGAAGAAAGCAACGTGGCTTTTTTTTTTTTTAGTTAACAGCACATATGTGGAGTACAAAAATTAATACTGCCTTACTATGATCTCTTCTCTTAAAATAGTGGTTATTTTATTTTATCCATGTTTTGAATCTTGCAACATGAACCGATTATGTAACATTAATTTTGGGGAGGGGGTGCTAATACTGCTACTTATTGCAGATCACTAATGGATTCAACACAAATTAACTAGGACTTCATTTTATGAAACAGCTTATTATGCCAACAAAATAGTGCTAACTCTTCTATTACAAGATGCGTGAAAATTTGAAAATATCTAAAGTAGAGAGGTTGTTAAAGATTAAACTTTTTTCATTTTCTTCCACATGCCAATACAAAAAGTAAAAAATATTAAGCCAGCTCCATTGAAATAGTTTAGAGAGGATGTCTTTATATGGAACAATTTCTAAAGTGTTGCTTTAAACTATTTAATTAAATGTCATTTTAAATATGATACATACATTTTCAGCTAAATGTTTTCCTCTGGTTACTTCCTTTTACTTTCCTTCTTCTTATACTTCATTATTTACTTCTATAAATATAACAGATGTAAGAATGTAGCAGAAGAACTGTTTATACTGTCTAATAGGAGCCATATTTTAATAATTTTATTAACAAAGAACTACATTTGTTATACTAATTCTTAACTTTATTAAACTCTACTATTAATTCTTTGATAATAAAAGAAAGAAACATTAATTCCTTAAAAATGAGATAAGGACATTGAACAGAGGAAAACAGAATTCATTTTAAATATAGGTTTTCTTTTATTGTCTCCACATGAATTTTTTATTTTATGTTTTGCATATTGCATTAACTAAGAGCTATAGACTCTAGAACTGTAACTGTTTTCTTCTGCTTCCTTGGTACCATTTTCTTTTTTAGTTACCTTATGGTACTATAAATCAATCTATTGACTTTAGCGACAATTCAATGTGCTTTTTCTCAAAACATTTACTAGTTCGAAAAATGTGAGATAGCATCAAAATGGTTAGATAATTGGATTTTTTAAAATGTTTTATTTTATTATCTTTTGTGTGTGTACCGTCAAATTGTATCTGACTGGTACAGGAGGAGATTGCCCCTCCTTCTCCAGCAGAGCATCTGGTGGATTTGAACCGCTTACCTCTGGGATGGCAGTGCAGCTTCTTGCCACTAGGCCACCAGAGCTCTCTTGATAGGACTTTTTTTTTTAAATTTAGCAAGAAGATTATTTTATACACACAGAGCAGGTCATAGATACTTTTTTCTTCTGGGCATTTGTGCTTTAATTGCTGATACAAAGTTACTGCACAGGTGTTACTTGCATTTCACAGAGTCTGGATAGACTTATATTAGGAAACCTTCTGAAGATGTGCTATGGATCTAGTGGTTTCTCTAATCCCTATTCAAATAGAACAGTATTTCTCTCCTTCCATATCTGCTGTGCTCAAGTATACTCAAGGTAGTTCACATTATATAATTTGTGACATTAAAAAGTAAAAGCAAAGGGAAAATGATATCAATTTTCTATCCAGATGCATTGATAATATATGAACACTTTCCTAGCTTGTTCATTTATGTAGCTACTTTAGACTCTCGCTGATTTTAACCAAACAAAATACTTTCTTTCTATCCTTATAGAATACATTATTTAAGGTTCTGTTCATCCCTTTTTTGTCATACATATGACAAACTTCTTAACTACTTCTCTTCCTTTCTAAAAAGGAATTATTTATAGATAGATTGTCTTGCATGATTCCAAGCAAGACAACCTATAGATAAATAGCCCTTTATAATAAAACATAATAAAATACAAAAATCATTTGTTATATAGCACTTACACCCATCTCCAAGGATTCCAGGCTTTACAAGTATTATTAGAACATTTTATGATTATCTACAACACTTATAGAGTTTATGATGTTAGCAAGAGGACACATTTTAAAATTATTCTATAATTATGTAAGACAGGAGCTACCAGATTCTCCTGTCTTTGTTTTTAACAATAGTTCTGTGGAGGAGGAGGAGGGGAGAGGGATGCTCTCTTTTCATATTTAAAATATTATATTACTTTGGATTTGCACTTTGTCATATCCACTTAATTATCTATCAATTTATTTAAAATTATTTACTTAAAAACAGGTTTAGACTTTGAAAACAAGGAATTAAAAAAATTACCAACAGTGCTTTTTAAAATATAATCCTTAGTGCTAGTTTTATTTCTGAAGCAAATATCTAGGAGGAGTATTCACAATTGTTACCTTTAATATCCTTCATTGAAAAAATAGTTATTACTTTTATAGTTGGAGATGCTGTATAGCATAGTGAGAATGTAATTTTAGAATCAGATAGAACCTGATTAGAATGTTGACTTTTGATAAAGGTGAAACTTTAGGCAGAACACCTACTCTGTTTTCTCTTCAAATTTTCCCTTGTAAAAGGTGTAGAATAAAGTCTATTCTGTTGAAATGATTACATGAAATGTTACTTATATTTCAAATATTGGCACAAAATGGATGCTATTATATAACAGAGAAAGCTCTGGTGACCTGGTGGGCAAGGAGTTGCACTTCCAGTTCATAGGAAGGCAGTTAAAATTCACTAGCATTTGAGGAAGAAAGATGGAGTGTCTTCCTGTATGATTTACAGCCTCTGAAAACCACTAGAGGGTGAGCTATGAGATGATTCCAACTGGATGACAGTGAGTTGAGTTGATTGTACACCATACCTTTTTGGGTTGATTTACTACTGCCTTCCCCCCCCCCCCAGTGTTCAGATCTTTGTTGGTTTCCATAATTTCTTTTAGTCATGCATTGGTTAATGAGGAAATCCTTATGATATTCTCATTTATTTCATTAGAAGTTAATGACAATGGCAAATGCTGATTTTTCAAAGGATAGTTAGTACCTTTTAAAGCTAGAGTTCCCCTAATCTTATCCCTTGCCTCTATTTTGCCATCCCACTTAGTAAAACCCTTATCAGCCTTAATCCTAAAAGCTGTTTTTAGCTTCTAGCTTAAACTACTGTTTGCTGCCTTTCATGTGCTTTCTGACCTTGATACCTACTTTAGGTTGTTAATCTCATCAGCATTCTCCTCTCTTCCCATTTTACAGTTTTAGGACTTTGTTTTTCTCCTAAGCATAGATACGCACTTGCAGAATTGACCTCTAAGTCTATTTTATCCACCTGTGACCATAAAGATAAGTTTTCCTTAGCCAGTTTGAAACAAAAAAACAATTGAAAAGGTGGGGGCAACCCCAAACCACCAAAAGCTTAATAACCACTACATTGTGTTCATTCAATCCATATTTTTGGTTGTCAGGTTGAGT